AAATGCCATATGGAGAAAAAAGAAAACAGAGAGAGAAGAATATGTAAGGCATGAATGATCACTTAGAGAAGTTGTAGAAAGAACCAAAAAATGGGAATCAAAGCTTGCTAAAGCAATCTGGAAGAGTTCCTTCTGACCTAAAAATTAAATTAAAGCCTGGCCACAATTATTGCATCAGATGCCTCTCAGTGACATTCTTGCTCCTTGATAACCCTTTTGTCTTTATAACTCATTACTACAGAATCAAGATGTAAATTCTTTGGAACTAGGGAGGTGGCTTTCTGTGTCATTAATATCTCACTAAACTGCTTACATGCTCTACCTCTAGTCAAGCAGTAAACCATTAAATAACAATAATACAAAATGACGAAGATCACGGTTTAGCAAAAGCATTTCAGTTCACTCTGCAAATGATTTACTGTCATTCGGCTGCACATTAGCTTTTATTTTCTGTTTGTTTGTTTGTTTTGATGGCAGGGTTGGTGGTTCAGTGGTATTAAATGAACAGCCAAAATAGCTAAATTATCGTGAAAGCCTTCACTGTTAGACTAAGAAATATCTCGAATTATTAAAAAATAGCACTTCTTATCAAAGTCCACTAAAAAAATTAGAAACTCCAGACAACATGGAGTTATTAATAGGAACAGCTATAATGTGGAAAATAATGAATATCAACAGAATCATAATTTTTAACCCTGATTTTCTTTTTTCTTTCCATGTTTTAAGAAACTACAAATTTGGAATTTGGCAACATAATAATTCAAAAATGTTATTCATCTGGTTATGACTCCATGCCACAACTTTATTGACTATAGTTTCCATTTGGATCAACTGTAGCCTCTCAAATGTCTCAATTTGACAAACCCAAGTGAATAAGCTCAAATGTAATAAGCATAAGGATGAGAGGATTGTTATCCTTATTCTAACTAAAAATCCTGCCTATTGCTTTATTTTTAAACTGCCACTAACATCTTTAAATTATAATTGTATCTTCTCAATGAGCACAGTCTCTTATTATTGGAACTGGCAGGGGGCCTTGACATTTGAGTCATCATTTCATTATGTCTATTTCTTACTCTGGTATATGAATTAAACAGAATTACAAGCCAGAAGAAATGAGGGGGGCGGTGAATTTGAAGCAGTAACTTTAAATTGAATTATTTTTTTGCAAATCTACAAAAAATATAAAGTAATTAACATTGGTAATAATATATTCTACTTCAAAAATATTAACCTCAATTCTAAAGGCCAAAGATGCTTCAAATCTTCCTAGCCAAATATTGAACTTCTGTAAAACAGAACCAAAAGCTTTAATGTTCCCCACATTACAAAGATAGAATAATTTCAGTTTTAAAGTAACTACAAATATAGACAAAAATACACATTTAACAACTTTCTTCTAATCTAAAGAGCTTCAAAATAGGTAGCAATTATTGAATGTTTATTGCACATGTGAAAAATGTTATTTAAAATGTGTAATCAAATAAGAATAATAATAATTCATCTAGACTAAAACATACAAATGTGCCAAACTGGAATCTTCAGACTTTTCTTTAGATGTTTCAAATCACTGAACTTATATGATGAAAACATTACTAAATGAGTTTTCCTAAATCATCTGATTCAGTCATACTGATAAATGTGTACCTTTCCATTTTTCTTAGATATTTTGTTTAAAATTTTTCCACTGAATTTCAAAATCATAAAATTTAATCAATTATGAAACTAATGCTGTATAAAATCCTCAAAACTGTCTTCGACATTGCTTATAGAAGGCTATTTCCTCATTTATTTTCTTACTGCAAACATTCCAGGATATGTGTAGATTATTCACTCACTGAATTTTTAATTGTTTCTGCAACTCTTCCTTTTTTTAGCCTAGAGCAACTTGTTCATTTCTGAAAGCAAACAGCTTTCCCCAAATGCTTGGGAACAAGCTGGATAGCCTAACAGAACTTTACTTATCTTGAAACAAAATATTGAAAAGCAGTGCTTCTGAAAACTGAATGTACATTCAAAAGTCTACTCTGGAAATTAACGTTACTTTTCCCTTTAATCACCAAACGTACATACCTGAAATAGTAATATAAATAGTAATGTCTGATTTTCTCTACATTTTATTTTTATGTTAATGTTGTCTTTTTTCTAAAAAAATATATTACCTGAGGGAATACGTTTGTTCAAAACTATTTAAACAAACTATTTTAAGATGTATTTCTGTTGTCTTTTCATCATTCATTTATAATTTATGATTTATAACCCAGGCTTTCCCACGAGGGAGTTAAAGAAATTTACAATAAAGATTTCTAGTGTCCACTGTATTCTCTCGAGAAGTAAACATGTTCTAAAGAAATGAATCTCTGTTTCAATACTAAAATTTAGTAGAAGTCCTGAGATAGTCAATTCATTTCCAACATTTAGAAAATATATTATTCTGCATTTTAAGACAAAAAACAGCATGTAAACCAGATGTTCCTAGATTAAGAAATTTAGAACAGAACATATCCGAAGTGTAGCTAGCTTTTTACTTATATTTATCTAAGGATAAGGCAAGCAAGTCCCACAATGTTGAAATCAGTCTTACTACTTCCTTCAGTTTGACTTCGGTCAGTGGAAATATTCATGGGCTTATATCAGCTTTTTAGTGAGTCCTATCATTTTTTTAATTACTATGGCTTGTATTAATAAATGTCTTCTATTTATATGCTGAAATAAATTACTAGAAGATGCAGACACTATGAAAAATGGCTGGGAATAGGGCCAAATGTTATTACATACATCCAGGGACCAGTAATTTTCTAAATGGCACTTTAAGCTCTCTTGCCTAAATAATTACAAATACAGCCAGCATGTAATTTACTGAAATAATTATGCACTCTTCTAGTTCTCGTCACCCATCTCAAGTTCATGGTCACTTACCTTGTCTTTATTTTCAGTACCAGAAGCCTCAGGCTTGGTCCTAATCACAAATGGGGTAGACAGTCGCAGCAAGACCCTTTCAAAGGTGGCATTAACCTTTGGAGAAACAATCTCGAAGCAGTCCTCAAACTTGAGCACTTTGTGAGTGTCACATCGGAGCTGCTTCCTTAGGCCTTCCCCCAGCTGCAGGACTAACATGTGGGGATCGAACATCAGGTGGAAAGGGAAAGCTCTGCAGAAGGTGTTGATGCTAATTCTCAGGTCCGCAGGAACTTGGGAGGTTCCTTGTGGAAGGTTTTTCGTGATGTTAGTATTTTCACATTCTTTGATAAGGAAAGTAAGACAGCTACAGTTGCCTGAGTTTGAACTATCAGAGCACAGTTTCTCATTTGCAACCTGTTCCACTTCCACATCCAGCCGATAGATCTTCTTTCCTGCAGCCTTAATCATCCCCAGCATTGCAAACCCCACAGTATGGTGAGGGTGGAAGTAGTGAAGCATAAGAGTACCTTCAGGGAGCTCTTTGCATAGGAATGATGGTGACTCCAGAGTGGCCTGTTTTCCGAAAGAAGTTCTAATGTGTTCCAACAAAGCATCAAAGCCATTAAAAAAGTCCTGCAATGTGCCGCCTACAGCTCGAAGGACTCTCTCATTCTCATCAAAGCAAATATTAAAGAACTCCTCACCAAATTTTTCTTGAATTTCCTCAAACTTCAAACCTAGAGATAAATGGGAAGTATATGTTAGAGAAGTATAATATAAATAATTAAGTTTATAGCTTTGACATGCTTATCAAATGAGGTAGATAGCAAGTGAAACAAGAAAGATATTTCCCTTGAGTTCACAAATTTCTCAGATAGGTTAATTCATTCATTTTGAGTCTGAGAATATAAATTTCAGTTTACCTTATAGGTGCTTCTAAGATGTTAATGAGCATAAACTTTCTTGTTTGTTTTTAAATACGTTATATTTTAGCAGTTTTAGATTCACAGCAAAATTGAGCAGAATGTAAAGATATTTTCCATATGCCCCCATCCCCCTCCACACACAAGCTCCCCTCCCCCTCACTATTGATATCATGGACTGTAGTGGTACACTTGTTAGAATCAATGAACCTGCATCGATACAATATTATCACCCAAAGTCCACTGTTTACACCAGGGTTCACTCTTGGTGTACATCCTTGGTTTATAACAAATGTATAGTATGGTACCATTATAGTATCATACAGAGTAGTTTCACTGCCTTAAAAATCCTCTGTGCTCCACTTATCCTTTTCTTCCTCCCCAACCCCTGGAACATTAACTTTTTAAATGCTGCTAATCTAACTTTTCTTTCAACACCCTACTACATTTGCTATAATTGGCAAAACTAACATATTTTCTTAATGATTTCTCTCATTGTTAAAGGCTCTTTATAGAAGCAACTATAAAGTTGTCTTTATATTTTGTCTGTCCAGTATTATCATCTTACTTATCAAAATTCATTTGGTAAGTGGGAATGTATGGTACAAGACTAGGGAAGGGCATCAGGTTATCTAGTGTAAACGGAAGAACTTAAGTTAGTAATCTCAGGGGAAGTCCTGCAAGTCAGCTAGACCCCAGGGAGAGACAGACAAAATAAGAAATTAAAAATGTCAGGACTGTAGAATGCTTTGAATTCTTTCACCCACAAAAGTGAGAAGAGCCAAGAGTGGAGTAGAAATATAGTTAAAAGGCCTTCGTTAAGTTTTCTAAGCTCACATTCACTCCTAGATGCTGTGGCAAATGAACTCTACCTTATAGTAATGAAATTATACTGAAAAATATACACACACACACACATACACACACACGCACACACACACACGATGCATTATGCAGAAACGGAGGCACATGTGACCAAGTAGATCCACCCTTGAAGACGATCTGAGGAAATATAAGGAGAGAATTATTGTCCAAAGAAGAATACAACAGATATAAAAGAGTTAAGTCTGTATGCTAAAGAAAGCTCTGTTAGAGTCATTCTATTGCTTCTCCTTTGGCTTTGGTTACGTAGGAGAGCAGAATTTTGCCACCTCAAAATACGTCTCTTTAGCATTAGGATTATTTTAGGTTGATTATTTTTAAGAAACAAAAGACTCAAGAAGGGCTCTTTACCTCACTGTTAACTGCCTAAAAGAATCTAGAAAAAAGGCTTGGTCCAGGAAGAGCTATCATCAAATAACTACAAAGAATATAGGTTAGGTGTTGCAGGGGGAACTCCTCAGGGCTTAGAGACCGAGTCCTCTCTAAATCCCATTGACTCTGCATGGCCCCATAAACATTTGTTTTTCCATCTCCATGTGAATTTCTTTCCTTCCTTTGAAGTCCTAGACTCCAACCCCATCTCCTTAGTTCAGAATGGCATATAAGCCCCAATTGCCTGACCACATGCGAGCCTCATATTCTTATAGAACTCCAGTACATACATAATTAATTGGTTTTTCTTCTGCTTGTCTGTCTCATGTCAATTTAATTCTTAGAGCAGCCAGAAGAATCTAGAAAGGTAGAAGATTTTTTCACTCACCAACAGCTGAAATCAATATAATAGCTTACATATTCACATTCCTTTGCCTAGTCTGCTCCAGCAGGTCCTGAAAATCAGGCAGGACTGGGAAAAAGACCGAAAGTCACTTTACTAGTGTCCTGTTCGTGTGCAGAACAGTCTAGGCTGCCTATGGCTTGGTTTGTTGTTCCCACCTACTATTACCTAAGGGTTCACCTCATTCAGAAGTGAGAGAATAAAAGAGTCAAAATATTATTTTGCAAATACAGTAAAAAAACATCAAATATTTTTGAAAGCAAACTATAGGGTATAAACACTGTGATAGCCAAATTAAGGGTCAGTTTGATAAAGAAGTTCTTAGAATCAATGTAAAATGAAAAGAAGTAAAAATCTAAGTGAAAAAGAGTCCCTAATTAAGAAGCATTTCATATTAATTTTAGTTTCATAGATTTTATGTTCAAGACAAGCTGAGAAAGTCACCTATTAAGATAAGAACATCAATCACCACTCATCTCACGTTGTCACTTTACAAGATTGCCCTTCAACATATATTGCATTCACTAATACTAATACCAGCCACAATTGATAATGACGGCATTTATCTGTCCATTTAGCTAGCGTGGGAGAAAACAAGATCGATGACATTCACTGCAACTTGGAGCCTGCTCCAACTGTTCCATTGAAACCACTTTTATAATTACTGAAACCAACACATACTGTTTTGTCCTTATCTTAGTTAACCTTATTTGTTGTTTTTCTTTTAATTTGATCTATTGATCATCTCTTCCTCCTAAATCTCCCTTCTCTCTTGGCTTATGAAATCACACTTTCCTGGTTTGATTACTGTCTGAAAATTCCTTCACTAAAACTTCTTCCTATGTCAAATCCTTATATCACCATCACTACACCATAACTAAAATATTCTAATACATACAAATTAATGTCCCCTCAAGTGCACTGTTATTTGTTACTATAAAAAAATTTCAATTATGAAATTCTAATTAGAAACTAAATTCAGAATAAATAAAAATGCTTGTAATCTGACTCTATTGGATGAACTATAAAATCCCACGTACCACTGAAAATATTCCACAGATTGCTTCTATACTTAAAGAGTTGTATCTTAAAAGGATATAGGGTCTTTATGTACAGCAAGGAAAAATAGAATTTCTTCTAATTTGCACTTTTTATAACATTAAAAATGCCTTCACAGTTATTAAGTAAAGAACACAGGTATAAATATAACACAGTAAGTTTATGTTTTATTTCCAATGCCATAATCCTAAAGAATCATCCAAAAAATAACAAGTAAATTCACTAGATGCAACAAAATGAAAACTACTCTGTGAGTATAGCATTCTGTCAACTAGAAATCCTTGCTGCCTTAAACAAGCACTTCTGTACTTTAAGGTACAAGGATTATTAGTTCTCAAATAATGATGCGAAAGTGACCTGTATCAATAAAGAAAAACTGAATTATTTTGAACATTACACTTAAATACTATACAAAGTATTTGTATATCCTTATACAAACCGCAATATTCAATTAACTAATAAATTTTTTCCTCACAATTGTTAAACTGTACAAAATCAGAAAATAAAAATAAAATTTTGAGTTTGAAAAATTGAAACTAGGGAAAAATCACTTCAACTTTTGGCAAGTATGCTATGAATCAATAGTTAAGACTTCCATTTTAAACTTTATCTCAAAATGTAGAAAGTACAGAGGAAACAGTTCAGTTCAGACAATTGGTGCAGCTCTCACTCCTAAGGTTCCACCCACGATTGATGCAAACCCCCTACTTACAGGAAATCATTTGAAACATATAGACAATGCTCATCTTTTCATATCACAAAATGCTATGACAGTTTGACATTTGGGTCTATAAGAATACATTCCCTCAAGACAAAATGTCAGAATTTTAAGTTACTGTTAATTCACCTCTTTTAATGAAATGAATAGCCTAAATGCTGAGATTTTCAGCTATAAATGAAACAGTCTGTTCACTCATGACATAAATCTTTTGCCTTTCACCTGCTGTCCATCTGACTTTACATTGCGCACTTCTTGAGGACAAGGACCTTATCCCATTTATGTCAGCATAACTAATGCCTGGCACTTGGAGACTTAGACTTCATTCACAGAAACTAAGTATTCATCTAAGTATTTGTTTGATAAATATAATCAAGTTTTTAAAGTTGCAGTTGTGCCACATCTAAGGATACCAAGACAAGTAAACACATTGTTTTCTCCATGGGCCTCTACAGATAATTAAATTACAATGTGATTGGGCTATAGTAGAGTCATGCTGGAGCACCTATGGAGGTATGAAAAAAAAACTCTGACTTTCTCTTCAGGGAGATAACGTTTGAAAGGAGACTTGAAGAAGAAGTGGGTTTTAAAAGGCTAACAAGACCAGACAGAAAAAGTTGAAAATCACATGGTATCACTTATATGTGGGATATGAACCTAAAAGCAACAAATGAACAGGAAAAACAGAGACTCATGGACGTGAACAATAGACTAATGGTTACTGGAGGGTAGGGGAGAAGGGGGAAGGGAAAGGTAGATGGGGTAAAGGGGGTCAAATATGTGGTGACAGAAAGAAATCTAACCATGGGAGGTGAATACAGAATATAAACATATATATGCTTTATTGTTAAAATGTACAGCTGAAACTGGATTTCATTAACCAATGTCATCATAAAAAGAAATATATAAATAAATTTAAAACATCCTTTAAAAAAGAAAAATAAATAAATAAATAAATAAATAAAAATAAATGGTCGACAAGGAAGAAACAAGCATACTAGCAGATGGACAGTAATGGAATACGGATAAACCAGGGAAGTGGAAGACTCTTGCATGGTCAGGGAAGGGAGAGTAGTAAGTGGATAATGGCTGAGCAGCAGGAGTTAAGGGGGTGGGGTGAGTTGTTAATTAATCAGCAGCGTAGAAGATGGACTTAAGGGTGCCAAAACCACAGTCAAAGACAGCAGCCAGAAAAATGTTGCAATGTCTTAATTAGGCAGTACCAGTAAGAATGGAAAAATGAGTGCCAAGCCATGTGCCAAATTTTTCATGGATTACTTTATTTAATATTCTAAAAACTTCCTATTAAGTAGATATTTTTAATTGTTCTCATTTTACAGGTGAGAAGTGTTAAGAAATCTGCCCAGATTTACACAACTTTAGGTAGCAAAGCCAGGTCTCAAAGTGAAGTTTAATACAAAATCTTGTCTAATAAGCACAGTGTCAAAA